AGCGATAAAAAACCTTATCTCTGTCGTCCGCCCTCGAACCAGACTTAGAATATATCACCTCTGTAGAAGCAATAATATTCGTTAATCCTATAATGGGCTTAACTGAGCCAATGACTAACAAACCAGACTTTTTTATGTGATAGTATGTACTCCCTCCATCCCAAAATGAACTTCACAATCACTATTCACATGGTCAACTTAAATTACTCTTAATCTTATGTTTATATATCAATTTTTTATCAAATTTATATTTTTTTATCAGCCTTTGTACCAGTTTTAATGTAGTTTCTCAATATGTAAATTTTATTTACTAAAAGTAGTCTGAGTTTGAACAGGGATCGAGTTGCTTTATCGTCGGTCAAGCATCGTAATCCGAAATGAGAAGTTATTTTTAGGACGGAGGTAGTATGTGTGTGTGTGTGTGTCTATGTTAGTTTATATTTTTTTATTTGAAGTATTATAACTAATCACTTTATGTATAATACTTCATAAAGTGTGTGTACATATGTAATAATAAAAATTTTTAAACGGGTCTGGGTCCTTAACGGGTTGGAATCATATGTACCAGACCCGACCCATTTATTAAAAGCACTAATGGGTCCGGATCCGGGTAAATGGAATAAAATATATACCCATACCCATTAAAAACAACCGAGTCCGGATCGGGTCCGAGCCTAGGCCCGAATCATTGACATGCCTATGGACCGGGACTGGGGCGAACTCGGGCCTAAAATTTTCAAACCCGGTACCGGCTCGGGTTTGTACCCGGACCGGACCGCGCCTAAATAGTACCGGGTTGGGACCGGACCGGGATGAAACTAGGCAATAAATTAAAAAAATAGTGCAATCGGGCTCGGGACCATCCTGGTCAGGCCCAAAAAATGAGCCTGTAGATGCCCTTATAGCCACCAGACCGGGATCGAGCGTATACATTAGTGGGCCGGGATGGGCCTAGACAGTATCGGGACTGGGTTGGGCTGACCCGTCCCTGTCATCCCTATACATGACTATATCATTAGTTGCTTCTTTCGAATCGAACTACTCCCCTGGCCGCAAATGATTTTAGATAGAGGGCGTGAGAGAGCAAATGTAACACCCCGGCCCCGTAGGCCCCGAGGTACTTACTTCTGACCTCTAATACTGTCCTCACAAACCGCCACTAGCCTTTTCCACGCACTTTGTCCTCACTCATGCACGCCCTGAGAAACTTCCCAGGGGGGTCACCCATCCCAATACTATTCCCGTGCAAGCACGCTTAACTTTGGAGTTCTTGGTTAATTAAATCCCTTAAAAGAAGATGCACCTTGTTGGTATGAGTAGTACAATTAATCCTGTTTAAACTAAATCTCAAGTGCTACAATCACCCCCACTTAGGAACGCAACGTCCTCGTTGCCCCCATAAACCAATCTCAAATCTCAATCAAATCTTAGAATCCTCCCCCGCTAAGTGCTCGCCCGAATCCAACGGGTCAACACACTATCGCAGGGTTGCTCTGATACCACTTGTAGCACCCCGGCCCGTAGGGCCCGATGTAGTTACTCATACACACCCTCCGGACCTCTAGTACTGCCCTCACAAACCGCCACTAGCCTTTTCCACGCACTTTGTGCTCACTCGTGCGCGCCCTGAGAAATTTCCGAGGGGGGTCACCCATCCCAAGACTATTCCCGTGCAAGCACGCTTAACTTTGGAGTTCTTGGTTAATGAGCTCTCTTAAAAGAAGATGCACGTTGTTGGTATGAGTAGTACTATTAATCATGTTTAAATTAAATCTCAAGTGTTACAACAAATCATTAAAGTAAAATGGGGGTTGGCTAAATATTCTCTCAATCTCATAGTTAGTTCATGGTCGTGCACATGTATTGTTGGGGTAATTTGAGTTTGCACCCCATTTTATTGTCCAAATTGGACTTTGCACCCCGTTTTTAAAAAACTTTGTATTTGCGAAGACAAAAATGCCCTAATCAAGAATATGTTCAAGGTCAACATAATTGTTCATGGAACGTGGCATTGAAGGCCAGCAAAGTTTGACCGAGCTTGTTGGGAAGCCTGATTATTTTGAACGTGCACTGGCATTGGTGGCAGTGTGGGATATACAGGGTTCTTTGATCGAGAGCTGAGGAGAGGACGTCAACATAAGATTGGTAATATGAGTGAAGCTGACCTAAAACAGTTGCAAATTCTTTTCTAAAACAATTGGAATAGTACTTTGTCCCAAGAGACGAAATACCTACCGGGGATTAGATGCCCGCTCCGAGAAGGCTCACGTGGATACCCGCTTCGAGAAGGCTCACGCGAAGGCTCACCTGCGCGTGTTAAATGACCTCTTTCATTTAAGTAACAGTTTAATTATTTTTTACATAACAAGTGGTTCGTTGATCATTTCATTTTTTATTCATTTCATTAAATGCAAAATGGTGTATCTTTTAGGTTATCAGTTGAGTCACACATTGATCTTAGTGATAAGGTCTTTGATTTTGTGACCATATCAATAGCCTACAACACACCTATTCGGGGGGGGGGGGGGGGGGGGGGGTCCATAATGATCGAGCCAATGTTTGAGAGAACAATTAGAGTTAACATATCTATGGCATTTCCAGGTTTTGAAAATTGTTTGTTTGTTATATTGTAATGAAGCAGCTGATTTGCATGTTGTATTAGACGTCGTAGGTTCATTTGTCTAGTCGCCAACTCGGTTAGTTTTTTAGGGAGAGATAATCAAGTAACAGTTGATGTGTACATTTATGTTTGTTTCATGATCTCACTATAAAACGATATGTGTTACGCAAGACAAAAGAGTCTTTTATGCTAAGAGATTCACCAAAAGTAATGGTTGAGCTCAACATATATCCATTGGTCAGTCAGACTGTTCTTCATTCATGTAGTGATGATCTTTTGAGATTGCATGAGAATCTTGAGTGGTATGAACCCGACCATTGTATGTTCTCTGTTGCTCTTCATGCAGAGTTGTTACGTTATCTAGACAACGTTCAATTTGGGACCATTATTGATCGTGCATGAAGACTTGAGCCAATTTCTTGAGTGATTCTATGGATATGGATATTATTCATACTTTTATACCGTAAGTATCACGTTTCCATCACAAATAGTACTAAATATTTGTTAGACATAATTAATGATCAATAATTTTTTTTACACACTTGTCTAATTAAGTGCGAAATTGATTAACCTTGGTTGTGATGATGTGAGTCTTTCGTGTCTTGTGTTCTTGTAATTATTACCAAAATTAAACGATAAGGAAGACACGTTGACTTACATGAAACATGCTCTTATTGAATTATTTAAAAAGACTTTCATTCCCTTGACATATTATGAAAGATACGATAATTTATACATTACATTCTTATTTATACATATTTATTACTCGTAAGCTAGTATTAACCTTTTTCTATTGTCTAAATTGGAGGTATCATTGGATTTGGATTGTAATTTTTCAACAATTGAAAAAGGTTATATCTTTAATATATTTGTCAAATTGTTCCAACATTACTATTCAAAAGGATTTAACAAATGTATGTATATTTTATGGTTTAGCTGTAATATTTAATAATTGTATTTGTATATATGATGACATGGATAGGTGATATAAGTTTTCTCGCACTTATAAAAATGTTGTAGTATAGAGTTAAAATAGGAGTATCGTCTCCATAATGACGGAAAAAGGGCATCATGTATTAAATAAATTCAGCGATTAAAAAAATAAAATAAATGCGGATGTGTGAGATTTGATTTTTGGGAAATTAATTAATGTGAAAATAAAGATAAAAGAAAGGTTCTTTCTAATTAATAACGAAAGGGAACAAGGATTGATTACGACACAACCAAATTTCGGGGTTGATCAGATTTATAAACCTGAAAATTACATGAAAATTTTTAATTGAGCAATGCAGATCACTAAGTTCTTACCACTCTCGCGGGGTACAGTACAATACTTTAGAGAACCATGCTGACCTCTCATGCGAGAAGTTCCTAAATTATTACCAAAACAAGCGAACGTATGTCCTATTCGTAACGAATCTATTAGCGAGCGATTAGGAGTTTACGAAAGTGTCCTGGAATAATTTAGACCTCTCTGAAATTATTTTATGTGCAATTATAATTTTTGCTGTAGTTCTAGGTTACAAAAGATATCAATTAAAATATTCAAACACAAATTAAATAAATAATTATGCATTTAAACCCTCAAGAACGATCTCTAGATCATGATTAACATCTCCTTCATCAATCACAAATTTCTAATTAAAACTAATCACAATTCATAATCGAAATATCAACACAATTGAGATGCAAATAATTAATTGTGATTATTTTAATAGATAGAACTTACAAACAATCTCAGAATATAGAAGATTCAAAGTTGAAACCCCTTTGAAAATGCATCCTCAAACTTGTCTCTAAACTCTCTTTATCCAAATTAAGGGTTTTTGCGCGACCAAACCTTCCGCATGTGAGTGGATAGTTACTTCAAATGTGCACACGACGTTGCAAGGTGCTGCATGTGTGTGGCCGAAAACAATTTTTCCACTTTTCTTACTCACAAATGGTCTTCTCAAATAAGGTTTACCCTCTTTTCTCCATAAATGACCTTTGAAGTACCTCTCATCATTCATCAACTCATAAGTCGGTGCCTAGTTCAATTTCCTTATTTTCATGCTAAATGTACCAAATACACAAGAAAAACTGGTAAACCATAACTTAAGTTAAATTAACACTTTGTGACTCATTTTAGCCACTGAAATTGTATAAAACCAATTCCAACACTCATAAAATGCATGTCGAAATTACGAAATATGGAGATATCAATAGAGGCGTAGCTCAGGGGCAACCTAGGCCCGGCCCACCCCAAATTACAATTTTGCTTAAATTATTAAGGTAAAAAAATCATGTAAAGAAATTTCAAACATATTATTTGTATCGGCCCACACGGCTTCTTATATATACTACACGGCTCCCTCATTAGTGTTACCTCATTCCTTCACATATTCATTCTTCCATATGGTATTAGAGCTTTGATTTCACAACCCTATTTTTTACCTTCCTTATATGTCGACTGCCTATGCATCGATGATGTCCGTGGTGCCCATCTCCTCTATGGTGCAACCTTCTTCTACATTGGTGGCTTCCTCTCTGCCGCCGCCGCTGCCAACTGCTTCGTTCTTTTCTACACTATCCTCCATGCATGTCTCCACGTCAGTGCTTGTCTTCTCTCTATCGGAGCAGCCACCGTTCATGCTACCGCAACAGTCAAGCGGCGCATCGGTGTCCTCATATGCTTTATTTAATATGTTGGAGCCTTTTACATGGACTACGTCACCATCTCTTCCGCCGGCAGTCCTCTTTGAGTTCCATAGTCCAGTTCGTCACCATCCTTCTCCGGCCCAGGCAGTGAGGGTAGCAATGAAGGCGGTGGTGAGGGTGGTTGCAAGGGAGATGGCATCTGCACAACTTTCCGGTAATGCCAATGCCTCACGGGTTGTAGGAAGAAGTATAGAATGTAACACACTCTTAGATTTTCACCGAAGACTACATTACTCCATCCTACAGTAGAATAGGAGCGCCTATCTCTTCTGAACATTGTGACTTCGTACATTGTCTGACTGAAAGATATCAACACCTGCACCGAGTCTTCCACGTTCAGATCCCAGCCTACCGCTAAACATAGCGGAGCAAGATATTCTCTAAGTTCGGGTTGTGGTGGAACTTTATAATTCGTCTTCTTGAGAGCGAGAGGCCTTCTGATCTCCAGGCAATTAGCTTTCTTCCTTCAAGATTTTGTATATTTCCTTTCAACTGGCCTTCTCCGCTAGACATGAATAGAGGAATTTCTACTGGGGTCAAAATCACTGTGGACGCAACTAGGAAAGTCCAAGAGAGTAGATGGGTTTGGGGTTGTGTTGGCATATATAGTAATGGGCAACTCCTTAAGGCAAGATGCAGGAGAGCAGAAGGGGATTGGACACCAGCAGAGGCAGAGGCATTGGGAGTGAGAGAAGCTATATTATGGGCTCGAGAAAGTAAATGGAGGAATGTCATTGTTGAGGTTGATGTGGCTCTCATTGTTTCTGGGGTTAAAGGAGAGAAATATAGTTCTATAGTGAGGGAGACTTTTGATGATAAAAAGGCACTTCTAAATGAAGAAGAAAATATTTATGTGCAATGGTGTAGAAGGTCAACAAATCAAGTTGCTCATGCTCTAGTTAAAATGACTTTTTCTATGTATGGTTGTGTTAGAATTTTTTATTTCCTATCCAGTTTTAATGTAAGCCAGATGGCCAACAATCAATTAAATTAATATATTTGGTGATTTACCATTAAAAAGAGAATCATTTTTTCGAATTTGTGTGTGTATTTTTCTTTCAAAAACAATTTAAATGATCCTTTTCATGTTGATACACATTTATTCATATGCATAGTACAAATTTCAATACACTACAAAAAAATTCGCCTGTAGTCACGGACTTAGTCACGGACCGTGGTGTAAAAAGTCCGTGACTAACACTTTTAGTCACGGACGAAGTCCGTGACTAGTCCGAAGGGTGAGACATCATACCCTCTTTTGTTTCGTGCTCAACATGCCATGTCATGTGTTTCGCAGTAGCAGTCGAAGCGTACATCCTCTGAAGTCGTGGAGCTATTGGGAGGTAATACAGTTTAGACAATGCCGACTTATTTCGTGGTTTCTTTCTACTTTGAGGAACTGGTTTGTATCTGTTTCCACCACAGAACTTGCAGAATTCAAGTGTCTCATCATCCTTCCAGAACAACATACATCCTTTCGGGCACGCATCAATTTCTATATAAGGTAGCATCCCGCCTACTGACTGCAAGACTCTAGTCATGCAAGTTTCAGGAAGACTGTATTCAGCTTTTATGTTCATAAACTCTGTAACGGCGGATAGCTGAGAGTATCCCTCACAATCAGCATACAAGGGTTGATCAGCTGCTTTTAAAACATCTTGAAATCTTTCAGCTAAACCTTCATCCACATAAGGTTCATAAAATATCGGATTTTCATCCTCATGTGGTTGATACGAGGTCGAAGCTTCAAGAGGATCGTTAGATGGTTGTGGGGGGTTGAACTGAGACATCGATGCACCGTATGCGTCATATACCATACGTTGCTCCCATCTCATTTCAGCAGGGTCTCCCCACGCACTCATCTCTGCAGGGACGTTACGAGACGAACCTACCGTTTGTGGTAAAACAGATGGACCCAAAGGTTCGCCATGAGAAGTCCAATTGTAATAATTGGGAAGGAAATCGTCCGCGTACAAATCCCACCCAACTTCTTCTGGGTGTTTAAATTTGAGATTTTTACACTTTGAACATGGACATCTGATTTTATCACCACTCATATAAGCCGGGTGTTCAAGTGCGAATTTAATAAACTCCTCAACTCCTTCAAGAAAATTTGATTGCATTCCGTACAATACCGCATGTTTATCATACATCCAAATTCTATTTTGTCTATACATTATGCCTGAATATTATAATAAAAAAATTTTACAGGTTAAAAACTCTAAATTATAAACATTACCAACATATTATATGTGGAGTATTATTAATATATTAAAATCAACTAATTCCCTAAAATTCCCTTAAAATTAACGAATTCCCTTAAAATTAACTAATTTCCTTAAATTTCACTAAATTTCACTAAAATTCCCTTAAAATTAACTAATTCCCTAAAATTCCCTTAAAATTAACTAATTCCCTTAAAATTAACTAATTCCCTTAAAATTAACTAGTTTCCTTAAATTTCACTAAAATTCACTAAAATTCCCTTAAAATTAACTAATTCCCTAAAATTAACTAATTCCCTTAAATTTCACTAAATTTCACTAAAATTTCCTTAAAATTAACTAATTCCCTAAAATTCCCTTAAAATTAACTAATTCCCTTAAAATTAACTAATTTCCTTAAATTTCACTAAATTTCACTAAAATTCCCTTAAAATTAACTAATTCCCTAAAATTCCCCTTAAAATTAACTAATTCCCTTAAAATTAACTAGTTTCCTTAAATTTCACTAAAATTCACTTAAAATTAACTAATTCCCTAAAATTCCCTTAAAATTAACTAGTTTCCTTAAATTTCACTAAAATTCACTTAAAATTAACTAATTCCCTAAAGTTCCCTTAAAATTAACTAATTCCCTTAAAATTAACTAATTGCCTAAAATTTCACTAAAATTCACTAAAATTCACTAAAATTCCATTAAAATTAACTAACGTCCAATAATTAATATTATTAAACTATAAACATGCACAATATGTTAATGACATTAATTTAATATAATCCACAATACTAAAATTATCAACATCTTAATCTTATTAATAATGCACATTTAACAATTTACTAAATTAAATAATATGAGCAAATCCAATAATTTGAGCATATATATATAATAAACACATTTAAATTAAATTAACTAACCCTAATTGAAATCATTATTAATCCTAAATTAGGCCGCCTTAATTAACAATAATTGCCAATATAAAGAAATCATATACTTATATTTAATCATATATATATATATATATATATATATATATATATATATATATATATATATATATATATATATATATAAAGTCATTTGAATTAAATAATACTTACATTTAACTAATATTAATAATATGCATTTAAATTATATTTAATCATATATACTTACATACGTATTTAACTAATTTACGTAATTTTAACCCTATATTTTAAAATTAATAACATATGTATTGCCAATATTATATTTAATAATATACTTACATATGTATTTATTAACAAATTTACATATTTAACTAATTTACAAAAAATACGTAATTCAAATTACATACCTTATCTGCATAAACAGGAAAAATGATATGAGATGGGTAGATTACATCCTTCAATTCTATCTGGAATTCTATCTGGAGTACGTAGAAGGTGTGATTTTGTTGAATGAAGTCGAGGCTGCATATATAAATTTTGTAGTCACGGATGTGTCCGTGACTACATTTTTTAGTACGAAATGTCAGTGCACTTTAAATTTGAAACGTTGAAAAAATCAATTTTGCACTTGTCACGGAATTAGTCACGGACACGTCCGTGACTAACTGTAGTCACGGTACTAGTCACGGACTTGTCCGTGACTAATTTCAAATTTAAAAAAAATCCCGCCGGAGGCAAAAATGGGTTGGCCGGAACACTTTAGTCACGGACTAGGTCCGTCACTACCTATAGTCACGGACGTAGTCACGGACAACTCCGTGACTACTTTTTTTTAATGGTTCCGTGACTAAACCGGGATTAGAACCGTGACTAACTAGTCACGGACCAAATCCGTGACTACGGTCCGTGACTACAGGCGAATTTTTTTGTAGTGATAAACTAATCAAAATAAGAGTAAAACATGGACATAATTCAAAAAATAGTACTATATATAAAATATTCTCAAAAAAGACTTATTTACTCTCATTAGAAGAATAAATATCCATCTACAAATTAAACCTCTCAAAAAATCCTCTACAAATTTCTTTGGTTCACAATATAATAGGAGTACCAAATTAGTTTAATGACAATAATTAAGTGAGTTACTATTATTAAAAATTGTGTAAACCTATAAATAGAATTTACCAAAAAAAACAATGTAAAAATTATCTTTAATAATGACTAGTTTTAAGTATAAGATGTTTAATAAAATATAATAGCCTTTGTTAAAAAAGAAGTTGTGTAAGAAAAGTTTGTGCACTTCCCATTATTTAGTTATAGATTAAATTATTTATTTCCAAACGTACATTAAAACAGGAAGATTGTTACTACCTCACTGAATTTGTGGTTCGTCTTATTTGTCTCTCATCTGAATAAATTTCAACCACGCAATTTTATTTTGCTTCTTTAACATTAAACAAAATATTGACAACATTTTTTTATCAACTAATGTTAAAGTTAAATTATCCTTATCATCTGAATTAAAATTCACATATTCAAAAACTACACTAAAATCTCTTCAAAGTTGCAAAGTCCAAATAATATTATAATTTAAAATAGACAGCCCAATTAAGTGAATAAAATAAAACATTTTGACCAAAAGAAGTCAAATTTGAAAATTAATTTGGGACAAATAAACCAATCCATGAGGTATCACAGATACATCATACATCTACTCATAACAATTCAAGTCCCAAAATCTTAACCATATGATGTTTGAATTAAATGTGGGTTGGTTAGATATTTGCATGTCACCTCGGAGGAATCCAATACAAGATGCATCAATTATTGGCATAAGTTTTTTGATGGAAAATATTTTCTATAAAAGAAAATATATAATGATAGAGAGTATATGGGCTCAGGCAGCCCACATACTCTAGGGTACACAAGTAGCCCAAAATTATCCATACTACACCCCTCAGTTGGACCCCTCTGCCAGATGAGGTCGTACATGGACGAAAAAACCAAGATCAGACAAGGCTAAGCAAAACATACTGGTCAACACCATTATCCGTACAAATCCCTTCGGCCAGTGACACATCGTTCAACATGAGACTTGTAACCTAGATAGAATCCCTCTCAAGGCAAGGAAGCAGCAAGGACGATGTCCATAAGCAACCCGTCCTACATAACACAAGCACTCAGCAATTAGTCAACGGGTGCCATACTTTGCTCTCTGCCGCAGAGCAGGGCTCTCACCCATAGATTAGCTTACACGTATATGTGCACAAATGCAACTAGCATTGATTACTAGTATAAATACCTCATTGGTGCAAATATAAATGGTTATGAATTCAGTAACATTAGACATCATTTTCTCTGTAACTCTTAGTTTTCCCTTATCTCTACAATACCACTAGCGATTTACCGGTGAGCTATCAAAAAAATAGGGATGTTAGAAAACCGGACCGGCTCAGACCTCAATCACCACCAAGCCCAAGGGCTTGCTCACACTCACCACCAGGGATACAACCAGGGAAGATGGAAGGGCGACAGCCAACTAGCCCTCACACTCAGAACCCAGACCCCAGCCCAGAAAACCCACCGGAGCAACGGATAACCCACCACACTACCAGACTAGAGTGAAGACCCTAAAAGGAACCCCAAGGTCTCACCGGAGCAAAGCCGGAGCTAAAGCTCAGAGGAAACCGGCACTCTCTCACTCTAGGTCTAGGGTAACTGAATTGAAGAGTCATCTTTTAGAGAGAAGGCGGAAAGGCTGAAATAGGAGGTTTCCAGACGAACCAGCCAAATATAAGGGAGGGCCACCCGGGATGGGCTGGGTATAGGACAAACGGGGTAGGAATGGGCTTGGTCGGGTAGACAACCCAATTGGGCCAGGGCATTAAAT